CCCCCCTGGCCAACTCGCCCCAGTTATATACTGAGCATGACGTCATATGGTGTGGAATAGCCCTGTGGCCAATGTGGGTCAGGCCCCCTGGCTGTGCCCCCTCCCAGCTTCTTGTACGCCATGCAGAGCATGGGAAGCTGAAAAGTCCTTGACTGGTGTAACCACTACTTAGCAACAACTAAAACATCAGTGTGTTATCAACATTATTCTCATACTAAATCCAAAACACAGCACTATACCAGCTACTAAGAAGAAAATTAACTCTATCCCAGCTGAAACCAGGACAGTCTGTCTTAAACAATAATGAAGGATGTAGTTAAAACCTGAGCAGGCTGAAAACAATGAAAACATTGATGGTTCAGTCACTATTCACAGAGAATCCGCTCTTACATGCACTTGTAATCTTTTAATGTTTGGAAGATTTGTTCACTTTTTTCCTACTACTAAGAAAAACAACGTATAAAGGGATGTCTCTCTAGACAGCACAGACAAAATTACATGCTTTAAAATGTTTTCTCCTTGCTGTTTTGTTTTATCCATGGCAGAGTATTTTAAAGCAATTTTGAACTGTTTTATGAGTAAGAATTCAGGACTTTGGTTAGCTAAGCTCTTTGATATGACTGAAGTTACAAGCTCAGGATACCACACCTCACATTAACATCTGCTTCCAATTTACCATCTTTGATTTCTCACATCCTCCAGAGAGCTTGCCAAATGCTCCTGCACTAATGCAAAACACACGAGAAAAGCACTTTACACCTCAGACTGTGTGAGTTTTCTTGACATCTGTTCAAGGAGTTCAATATTTTATCCCTTAAAGAGTAATAGATCTAAATTTTAATACCAAATTTCCCATAGGCGATTAGTCTTCCTGCAGGTTATTACAGGAACACTATTAGGTCAGAAAACACGCCCTGGATTCTCAAGTGGTAGAAATTGGTAGATGTGAACCTCTCCCTTTACCCCTTCAAGAATCTGAACCAATGTAGTAAAAGTCTCCTGATGACCTGGCTGGCAGCTGGAGGTTCATGGAGATCCTGCCCTTGACCCGATGCTCAGCCTGGGGCAAGCGAGTCCAGGCAGGATGGACTTCCCTGGTCAGCCACCCAAAACTATCCATGTCCCAGGCGGCAGTCCAGCCTGACTTCCCTCCAGCACTGTCTACATCACAGGCGTCTGGAGAAACTTAGTGATTCCTCCCTTTGACTACGATCTCCCTTGAGTCAAAACAAAGTTTTCCAGCCAGCCTGTAATGGTGAGTCCAGCCATGCCCATGGAGACCCAGATACCTGTGAGCTGCCCAGGGCACCCTGGGGTTTCAGGCCGAGGCAGAGGAGCACCTGAGCCAAGCAGAGCAACCTGGAGAAGCAAGGGGCGCAACACCAACCCCGCCTTGGAGATGGTGGCCAGCAATTCATATACAACAGTGAGCTGCTGAGATTTCACAAAGAAATTGGGACACTTGGTAGGGAAATCATAGAATCATAGAATTGTTAAGGTTGGAAAGGACCTCTGAGATCATCGAGTCCAACCTGTTAGCCTAACTAACTGCCTGGTCCACCTCTAAACCATGTCCCTAAGCACCACAGCACACATTTTTTTAATACTTCCAGGGACTGTGATTGTACCACTTCCCTGGGCAGGCTGTTCCAATGCCTAAAATCAGAAAGGTGTTGGTGGCCCCACAGAGCCAAGAGGCACTGATGTCTTGCTGAAGAAGAGCAGTGCTCCAGACATTTCCCAGTCCCCATGGAATACTTATTTACAGAAGGAGGAACCTGCTGAAAATGTCTTAAAGGCAAGTAACAACCTCAACAAGACCTGTATTGGCTCGCTGTAGCCAATTCTCCTCCAAAGCACAAGTGATATGGGGAAGGGGGTGAACCGCGAACACCGGAATTTTGAGGAGATTTGACAGAGAGACCATAAACATTGTTCAGACTGAGTGCAAGTCCCAGGCCTCAGGAGGTCACCTCAGCATGAACCATCCCACCACAAACCATTACAGCCAGCAAAATAAAGACAGCTGGAAATGGCTGCTAAATCACCCTTCAGGGGAGCCTACTAGAAACTTTGTGATTTTAAAAACACAAGATCGTCTAAGTTTTGCAGGATTCATGTTCCTGTTGGGCCCACACCTCAACCCTGTATCCATCACAGAAGCCACCACTGTTGGACTACCATGAACTCCCCAGGAACAGGAGACTGGGACACTATTCAACTATTTTCATTAGTAGACAACAAACTAGAGAATACATTACGGAATTTTTGAATGACACTGAGCTCATGATTGCTACAAGCATTTTGGAAGACCAGAATAGAATTTAAAAGGATCCTGGAAAATTGGAGAAATGTGTGAAGTGAACAGGACACAATTCAATAAGGACAAGTGCAGAATTCTACATTTAGAAGGAACAATCAGCTGTTCAAATCAGGAGTCAAAGAATAGTGTTTTTAGCAAAGGATCTGAGGGTTCTTAGGAATTAAAAAAAATGAATATTGAGTGGAAAATATAATTGTACTTCAAAAAAAAGCAGACAGTGTTGTGGGTTGTATAAGAAGAAGGGTCTCTTGTAACACACATGAAGTAACCTATCAATCAGCTCTATTTAGCATTGCCAGGGCTCATCTGCAATACTGGGCCAGCTTGGGGTACCATCCTTCAAGAAACAAAGCAACACATAAGGGCCAAGGGTAGCAGAGACAGACCTGGGGTAGTCAGGGAGATGCCTTTCCTGGGATGGGTGGCATTGATAAGGCAGGAGAAGGAGACAGAGGTACTGCGGCATCGGCAGCTCAGCCAGTCACAGCCAGAGGTGCTGGATCTCACTAATGGGAACTCGGAGAGTGCCCAAGAAAAAATAATGTACCTTATGAACTGTAAGAGCTGTGTTTGCATAGAGGTGCGAGCCTGATGCAAAATCAGCCACTTGACATATCTGCACTAGAGTGATTTCTACAGCAACATGAAGAGTGCTTTCCTGTGCCCCATGCATCATCGTCTTTGACAGCAGTGCTTGACAGTAATAGCCCATAAAGTCAAGGGTGCTTCAGTTGTTATAGTGCTTTAACTCTCAGAGGACACCAGTGTCATCACTGGAGTTGAGAGCTGCAGAGCCCTGGTGCAATCTCTGCTATCCTTAACCTCAACATGATAATTTCAGCTTTTCCCTCTCTCTTGCCTGTCAGATCAAAGTGTGCAGGATTTCTTGCATGCAGCGTACGAAGGAGCAACCGACTCCAGCCAAGGCACAGTGGTTCAGCTGGCATGTTCCTTCTTCGTGGACGCTGGCGTGCAGCTTTCGCCCCACTTCACTGCACGTGTTGCGCACTGGGCAAACAGCAGCCTGCAGCAAACCAACTTCACTGACCCCAGAAGAACCACAGCCCAAATACAGGAATGGATCACCGGTAACCTTGGAGGTAATGTAACAACCCATGAGAATGATTCCACCTGAATAAAATGTAAAATAGGAGTAATGAGAGAAATTGCATTTAACCAAGTATAAAGTTTTTTGCTGCGCTCCATGCTGTCCAAACCAGGGCTGAGAGCTAGGAAATCATGTTCTTGTGCTGATGCTCATTTCTAATGTGAGGAAAGAGCTGGAAGAGGTCTGAATCTGTGAGTATAAGTTTGCAGTATCAACCTCGTAATCACTTGGCCTTGTTCCTCTAATTTTTAAAATGGCAATTCTTTGCAGTGTTTTCAGTTTTAATGAGGAGCAGCCAAATTCCCCAGGGACCGAGTTCGCTGCATTGAAGACTTTCATGCTGCTGTGGGGAACATGCAGGGCCATAAGCTCAGCAGTCAGACTCTGAGTTTAAAAAGTCAAAATGGGAAATAAAAAGAATTTACTTTCCACACAAGCAAGAAAAGTAATTAAATTAAATCCATGTTAATGAAAAAATAATTGAAAAAGCAAGTCCTTAGAAGCAGTAGAGCAAATCAATCCCTGATTTGCCCCATCAACTTAAGTTACATGAGTGTTAATTTGACCATCAACATGTGAGGTGATGTTAAACACACACATGAAAGCTACTACTGAAAAAAAAATTTCTATCCTTCTCAAATGAACTGTAATAAGTGATCCAGCTTCATGATAGAAAAGTATTGCTCTAGAAGCAGGTACTAAAATGGAAGTTCATATTACGGTGCTCACGTGTGTATCGATGAATTAGAAGAAGTGGATCACACTTTCAGAAATCTTTGAGATACCCAAAGCAGGATCAGTTGAACTTCGAGGTAAATAGGAGAGGAGGAGAATTAGGATACGAGCTTCAGTTGACTTAGCTACTTCATAAAGTGGTCTGTAATCATGAATCCATTTCATGAGGGATTTCTCGCGCTAACGATGAACTACTCCAAGAGGTGGGCACATTTAAGCTAGAAAACCAGTTAGGGCCAGGGCATGGTGCTGAGCACCGGTCTGCTGTCATCCATGCTGTTCAGTGACAAGCATAGTCCTGGCACAACTTTGGCCCTCAACATTGATCAACTTGAGCTTGGTTCTGGGGAGAGCATGGACCAACAGACAACCCTGATGAGGTCCATGTACTGGTGGGGAGGGGAAGGTACAGTGTTTAACAGTGCCTTGTGAGTTGTGCCTCTTGCCCTTAGGGCCAGAGAACAGTCCCAGCTTGCTTTATTTATTCACACAGACCTGGCTTTTAGGCCTAGGCAAGTAGGACAGCGTGAGTCCCCCTCCCTGCCTGTTTTCCTTGCAGAGGAGGACCTGCGTGGCATGCCGTTGGAGAGTGCTGGGTCGCCGCTCAGTCAGGTCTCCCTAGTGAGCACCATGTACTTCAAAAGCATGTGGCAAAAGAAGTTTTCCTTTACGGATACCCAGATGTTGCCTTTCACCACAGCAGAGGGCTCAACCCTGAAAGTGCCCACAATGCATCACACAGCTGAAGTTAACTACGGTAACTGTCCTTGATCCAGATTTGCTCTATTGTACAACATGGAACAGTTTTATTTATTTATTTTCCACAGCTACAGCACTAAGATGTGTTATTTTCCCAGCCTGGAGAAGTCTCAGAAGAAATCCCATCAAAGGAAGAGACCACCTGGGTGACCAGACTGACTCCTTATAATCCCAGGCAATCAAGAAAGAGATCCTGCGTTCAAAATGGTTCATAAAATATCTACCGTCCATGCCCCATCCCTCACAGACCAACACCTCCCAGCACTCCGTAACAAACTTGCCAGCTGTAGCAAACAACCAAAAAGCACCAAGATAACGTGCCAGGAGAAGGGAACAGGAGAGACTGAGGGCACCACAGTATACAAAAGTCCTTTGCAATGGCATGGAGCTTGATAAATAGAGCTGCCTAGGAAGGGAAGACCGTAGGAAGCACATCGGACCCCATGACAGAGGGGCAGTTAAAACTAAAAAAATATCAAGCCCCTACCAGTTTGATTTGTGGGGTGGGTAAGAAATTTCCTGGCCCCTCAGCCTAATCACTGTTTGTCCCTTGAGTGTGTGAGCACCAGAGAGAGGATAGTATCACCGTGAGCCCCAGCACTGCACACCTATCCCTCCTGTCTCTGGTCACAGCCTTTCTCCAAGGCTTTAAGGTAAAACTACAAATCTTCAGGGCCAAATTCTGCAACAAACAGGAGAGAAATTTTGATGGCCCTTATACCCAATCAGTGGATGATCTCAGCTTGGGCTTAAAACAGTATAAATATAGGTCAAAGTTTTGTTTGTATAATATATGAAATACAGCATATGCTCCTTTCAAAGGCTTGGAGTATGTGGGTTGTTGACAGAAGGACTCATGCTTTAGGCTTAGTTTTCTACTACCAGGAATTCTACCACTTAGCTCTACAATCTCTTTCAAAATGTAAAAAGCTCCTTTCCCTTCTACCCTAAATTTCAGAACTGCACTTGGGTAAAAACCTTCCTAATTCCAAGTCTAAATTTTTTCAAGACCAATTTATATCTCTTAGCATCATGCCAGCTTTAGCCTATAAGTTAAATAATTTCTCTTCAGCTTTGATATTTACTTCCAAATGTATTTGCGAGTCACCAAGCTGCCTCTCTCCTGTTAGCTAAGCTGAAGATGCCAGGCTCTTCTAAACTATTCAAAAACCAGATACTCTAATTCTCTACTAGTCCTTTTCTGCACTTTTCCAATTTAAATTAATCTTTCTTGAAAATAAATGTCCAGGAATATACATTATACTTTTAATGAGACCATATACATATTCGATAAAATGCTCTTAGTATTTCTATGACTTGCTAAAAATACCTTGTGGAGTGCACTGCAGAATCAACTCAGGTTGACCCCACCTGGGCCTTTTTTCTTTCTCCATTTTTTTCCATCTGATGAGTCCTAGGTAAATCAAGGGGAGGGAAATCTCCACAGGTACATACCTTTTTTTGTGTTTTTGAACCATCATTTGATTTCCACCACTCCAGTCATCACAGTAACCTCACTGTTTGTCTTTGATGGAAGTCTTGAGTGTTAGCAATACTTTGGAAAGCCACTGGTAACCTCTTTTCAACCTGGGAGCCCCTCTTTTAACTTAGCTCATTGTAGTTTGCCCTTCAAGCGGCTGCTTGTTGCCTTTCATTTCTTGCTCTAATCGCCATCACTTCTACCTGTAAATAGTGCCACAGTGAAATTATATTTAACGTTTTACTTAAAACTAGATGACTGGATCTATGCCTTTTTATCGAATCAGTTATCAATTAAAAAAAGCGCATAGATTTGTTTGCTAGGGTCCACCTGATATTACCATTTATCTCACTTTCTATTTCCCTCTCTGACCTGATTATTCTTTTCTCCAGAGTATGTTCTAAAGCTTCTCAAACAAAGACCTAAAATTTCCCAGATTACTTTCGTTTTCCTTACAAATGTACTCCTGTTTTCCAGTCATGGGAAACAACTGAATCTACAGTCTATTAAAAATCTTTGTTGATTCATTTGCAGTTCCACATCCAAGTTCTTTTCATATTCTGGGGTGGTGATCATCTAGGCTCCACATTATTATTTGTCTCTCCCAAGTAGTGTAAACTTTATTTCTATCTCTGGTGTTGTAATACCGCCTGTTCTTTCCTCATTTCCATTAGGAAATTCACCATTACCCTTTGCTGTATCATCAGATTATTTATCTCCCATCAGTTCCAGCAAATAACTGGGATGAATCTAAAAAAAAAATTAATTCAGTGTTCAGCAGCACCATTCTTGATTCCTTTTTCTCTTGTTTATACGGCTAAAACATTCTCCTTTTCTGTGCAAGAGTCACATCAAGCACGCAGTTGGCAGCTCATTATTTCTATGCCTTTATATCTCTGAACCGTAATTCACCTGGCTAAGGAGTCACTTTTTCCACTTTTTGCAAGTTTGCCTTTACTGTTACATCGTTCTTTGTGGTGTTTCTTCTTCCTGGACATCCATGGTGTGTCCACCATGCTTCTTCCTCCTGGTGCACTGCCAGCTCCTGAGTGCATTCACTCCTCTGCCTTGGAGTGCTCCCATCCTCTTTACATTTGAATCCTTTGTAACTTAATTGACTTTACTGGGGAGTGAGAAAGTTTGCCTTTCCAAAACCCTACACCTCATCATCCTTGTTGTTGGGCAACATAAACTACTACATCAACACATGATCTTCCAGCCTCAGGTGATTTTGTATCACCAAGCTCACTGCAGGGGCTTTGCTACCCGTGATATCTGGAATAGCCTCACCCTTCATTATTTTGTGAGCTATTCAGGTAAACAGGTTTCTTTGGACTAACACACACCTATTAGCTCAGGAACAGACCTTTTCTCTGAACTTTCTCTTTTAGTAGAGTGAGATAAAGAAGGTCTGAAATGAGAGGTCTAAAAGCAGGGAAGGCGGGGGCCTGCCAGTGCTTATACAAGTGGAGATCTCAGGTAAAGACCAGTGACCAGAAACTGAGCAGCTGAGCTGCAGACTGACCATATATTTGCTCCTGAGCCCTTGCAAACTTGATGTGAAATCATTAGTTGTGCTTGTCTGACCATTTACCTAAACACAAGAACTCCACCCTATCATCCTTAAGTAGGTAGCTGAAGCATTAAATATTTGCACAGAAAAGGAAAGTTAGCCAAAATACTGAGGTTACCTTTTCATTCAGCCTCAAATGTGTGAGCTCTCTGCAGCTGGAGAGACTTTTGAGGAAAGTCAAAATGAAAGGGATCATTTAAAATTTGCTGATTGTCAGATTTGATAGGGCCAATTCAGTCTTTGTCACTAGAAATGCTAGAAACATTTCTAACAAATCAGTTTGAAATTAATACAAAAGACTGGTTCAGTACAACAAAGCAGAGGCATGAGATAATTTTCCTTCATTATTAAATGATAGCAGCTGTCTCCCATCAGGATCCAAAACACAGAGCAAGAAAGATTAGCTGTAGCCTGTTATTGATCGCAGCATTTAGAACATTGTTTATCCTTTCAACATGGCCACGCAGAACAAATCAGCCTGGGGACAATTAACACTGCTCTAAGAAAATGTCAACATTACTGTTTACACATGCCTTTTAAACACTGCAGCTATTTTACATATTCATTTTTCCAAGCAATTTGTTAACTATATTTGAACACTGATGTAGCATATATGTAATCCTTATGGGATGCTCAAAATCACTTCAAGTAAGGAATGCTAAATGTTCTGACTCGATAATCTCAAGTGTTTGATTTTCTTTCTAATTAACAAATAAGGACTGTATGACCTTTGTGCAGAATGTGCTGACTTCAGAATATCAGCATGCCCACAAATTAAACCACTCATGACCAGTGCACCACAAACGTAAATCTTCCTGCTTGCACATTACAAACCAGAAGGTCTTTTCTCAGCAAAGTGATCCACATGCTGGGAGGTGGTTTTATCAGCACAATTCCCTCTCCGCATTGCATGGCAGGAGGGCTAATCCAAGAGCCTAAAATTTAATCTAGCAGAATAATCAACACTTAATGAGTCCTATCTAATCTAGATTTGCAAAACTAACAAATGTTTCACCACTAAACATTTGAGACATCCTATAGCTACTTATTTATTGGCAAATATTTAGGTATTATGAACATGAGCTACCTATATTCTGTTATTTACAACCCCTGACTCAATAAGTGTGAGTATCTACCCTTGAAGATACAACTACTACAGCTGGGTGAAGAGGGAGTCTTTTGAATGGCCTACGGCAATGGCAATGATAAGTCATTGGCTTGCAACTTGTGTTGAACTCCTGGCCTTCTGCCTATTGCTGAGTGTTTCTGAAATGCTATTTATTGGATTAACAGATGAAAAAATAAGAAGTAAAATTGTGATAATTGAATCTGTTCTACTGTATAACAGAGTCCATTAGAAACACCTGGACTAATCGCTCATCAAAATATGGAATTTACATGGTATTTTTAAATGGCTGCTACAAATTGTGGCATAACTAATTAAAGGGCAGAAGCCCACCAGCTTTTACTTTTGGGACTAGTTTTTATAACCTTCATCTGATTTTGATATGTTTTAGGCCTAGATTTTGAAAAATAAGAAATTTTGTGCTTAAATAAGCATAAGCCTAACTACTTTATTTTTTAATGTAACTATTTGTTTCTTGAAATAAGGTTAAAACTGATTTTTAAAGGTAGTAAAGATGGAAACATGAGGCAAAGTAGGTTTCAGTTAATTAAATAGGACACTTCATTTCGGTTTTGTAATTTCTATCAGTAGTGAATTTTTAGTGAAAGATATTAGAAAGTTGTAAGTTTATTCAAAGAACAAGCATTGCAGGAACAGTCACCATAAAGTTACTGTCATTGCCTCGGTAATGTTTTTTAAACTCTGAGCAAGGAGGACAGCTACTATATGAGAAAGCAATAAAATATCCATGCTCTGTTGAGATAGTGCTTCAGGCACCATTACTGTCATTGGCATTTTTCTGCCAAGTTATATATATATATATATATATCATAAAATCAGCTCTGTTCAGATGAGCCACTGTTGTGAGTTAAGAGCAACCCGAGTTGACTGCAAGAGCCCATGCACTAGAGACAACCCCTTATATCTCATCACTGCTGTTCTGAACCGTCTGCTGACCCAGGCTTGGGTTGTGGGGTTTGGGTTTTTTTCCCCATTTGAGTGATGAAATAAGATCTATATTTGCCCACCTTCAGGCCAATTCCAGACTGCAGCTCTAGAGGCTTTCAGTGTGGTCGAGTTACCCTACCTGGGGGAGAAACTCAGCATGTTCCTAGTGCTTCCCAGCCACAAAAGAACATCTTTGTCCCAGATTGAGTCTCGCCTTTCTGCCAAGACCATAACCCTCTGGGCCAACAGCTTAAACAGAATGAAGATGGACATTTTTCTACCTAGGTAAGCAATATTAATACTGCAAGATGGCTTCACTACTTCAGTTGTTAGAATTGGGTGTGATAGTGCTGACACAAGCAATGTGAGAGACAAAACCAAATGAGATACTTTCAGTTTTGTTATTCATCACATGATCAGAAAAGTTCTAATCCTTTCTTAAGCCATGAAGAGGTGAGCTGGGAATGCCAAAACTTTCTGGTATGCTCTGTACTGTTTCAAAAACTAAGTATTTCAGTTGATCCTACAGCTTTTACTTAAAACGTGTTTGGGGAGTAACAATCCTTTAAAGAACTAAAATGAGAGAAACGTTCCTGGGCCTTTCCCACACTCTGTTTTTTTCTTTGCTTAAGGAAGAGTAAATATATAACCTTTAAAAAAATGCAATAGTTTATTTTTACAACTTGCTAGTATACTACAAAAGTACTCTACAAAGAACTTGGGCCCCCTCACCAGTCTTACCCATCTTTCTGTGCACAAAGCAAGTTTCAGCCATTCGTTTTCCACATTAGTCATTAGTGCTAGCAAACGCACACGTCCTGGAGGTATTTTCTATCATCTATTCAAATGAAATTGCATAGCAGGAGGAATCAGGTGCCGGAGGGCCTTTGTCGCTGTACCTATTGTATCAGCATGAAAGGGCGTCGTTATGCATCTCTCACAATACATTCCTCACCTTAACGAAGCACTGGAAAACAATTTGTACATTAACATTCTTTTTTTCCAAGCTACTCTTTTTCAAATGTTTCAAAGGGCCCTTTGCTACAGCCAAAAAGATTGTTAAAAAGAGGACGCTTGGGGAAATGCAGAGTTCATGTGTCAAGAAGATTGAGAGGTGGTCTGGTTACAATAGATGGAGGCGAGGGATTCCTTCTGTCTTCAGGTGAAGATGAGTCGCTTTTCTGCAAAGTACACTTAATCAGACAGAAGGCATTGTGCTCATACAGAAATAGATGGATGAAATGAAAAGGCTTGAAATAAATTGCATCTGTTCTACCTTGTAGCTCTATGAAACTGCAAATCCCACATTTAAATAAAATCTATCATATTAATTTCAGGTTCAGTATTCAAAGCCTTTTTGACCTAAAGACAGTTTTTTCTGCCTTGGGAATTAGAGACGCATTTGATCCCATCACTGCTAATTTTAAAGGTATTTCAGGTAAGAGGCTTGACTGAATAAAAAATGATCACTGACCCAATAGTTGTAGACTCTTACATTTGAATGATTTGGTAGACCTGGTCCTTATGAATTGATTGTACTTCTTCCTTTGTGAATCTCTAAAATACAATTCACACTCAACTGTTCTATTTTATTATTGGCAATTGTATTTTGAGCTGTTGTTTTGTAGGAAAGAGGAATCTGAAAGGGACAGAGTCGGTTTTGGTTTTGCTTTTTTTTTTCTTTTTTTCCCCCCTTCTTTCTTTAAGATTAAAACTCTGAAGACAGCGTAGGCCTGGAAAATGATTATTTATTTAGAAATTTAGGATACTTTAGTAAAACTTGCATTCCTGTTTGTGTTTTTAAATAGTCATTTAATAGCTAGGGATGCTGATCCAACAAGTCAGTATTCCAACTCCTGACACCACAAACACTATTGGCATATGCCCATGCCATGTTGTCTTGCTAATCCAGTGACCAGTGGACTAAATTATACTTTCCCTTTGCTAAAATACTAGTGTTACAATTGTAAACTGTCTTGGTTTTGGAAGTCTGAAATTATCCCACTCCTTGGAAAATTTTTATCCCTATTTAATATTAAGTACTAAAATAATCCAAATTATCTTTTTTTTTTTTTTTTTTTACTACTTTCAGCACGCAAATTATTTCATCTTAGTCATTTCTGTTCATAGCAAAGACTCAGAGTGGTAGCTGCTCCTAGAGATGCAGAGAGATCAAGCAATTCTTGCGCATGTGAGTAAATAAATGGAGATATGACAACAAGAAATTCCTCCAATTTAGACAAACCTGCTTTTACAGAAAAGTTACTTCTCTGGGATGAATCTCAGAAGGCACATTACTTATGGGGTTTTTTTATAGCCCTTTTAAAATTGAACCTAGCATTTTTTTATTGCAGTACATATTTCAGATTGCAAAGAGATGCATGTTAAAAATAATTTGTTACTGCCCACTTATCTGTTAAAGCCTGCTGCTTTGTTTATTGCAAACAAATGTTAACATAGTGATAAAGTGCACAAGGATGCATCTTATAAAGTTAACATCTATTTAAGTAAGATAAATACTTTGAGGAAATGAACTCCACCATAAACGATCTCATTTAGCAGCTTCTTTCCTATGCAACTTGGTGGCTTTCTGCTTCACATCATACAGGGTGAGGTTTTCAGAAGTATTTGATCCTGCCTGTGTCAGGGTTATGGATTAAAGGATATGTTGAGGCCCTTTGCAGTTCTCCTCTTACACTACTGAGTTATGTATCCTAATAGTAGGGTTATAGCTATGATGGTCTAAGAGTTACATGAGGCAGAGTTTATAGGGAAGGTTTATCTTTTATTTAACCAATAGATACAGTTAGAAAAAGAACAGGTAAGTTTTCAGTTCCTCTTCCATATGACACAGAAGCTGTAACCTTCAGAATATTTACTCTCAGATGACATTTAGCAAACAAATGTGTTACCTCATTTCAGACCTGGAATAGCTGCTTTATGCCTGAAAGCTTCTATTTTTTTTCTTCCAAAATAGTTAGATTTATCTAATTAAAAAATTCTGCCTCTTCCTAGTTTTCATAGAAACATAGAATGCTTTGGGATGGAAGGGACCTTTAAAGGTCATCTAGTCCATCCCCCTGCAATTGCCAGGGACATCTACAACTAGATCAGGTTGCTCAGAGCCCCATCCAGCCTGTCCTTGAATGTTGCCAAGGATGGGGCATCTACCACCTTTCTGGGCAACCCATTCCAGTGTTTCACCATCCTCATTGTAAAAAATGTCTTCCTTTTATCCAGTCTGAATCGACCCTCTTTTAGTTTAAAACCATTACCCCTTGTCTTATCGCTACTGGCCCTGCTCTAAAGTCTGTCCCCATCTTTCCTACAAGCCCTCTTTAAGTACTGAAAGGCTGCAATAAGGTCACCCTGCAGCCTGCTCTTCTCCAGGCTGAACCTCTTCTCCAGGCTTCAGCCTTTCCTCATAAGAGAGGTGCTCCATCCCTCTGATCATTTTGTGGCCCTTCTCTGGACCCGCTCCAACAGGTCTATGCCCTTCCTTTGTCTTGCTTGTTTCCATCCCAGATTTTTCACTGAACAAAATTCAGATAGAAACAGCTAAAGTGGTCTTTTAGTATTTCCCTGTTTTCACCTATGTGTCAGACCAAATCCTAATATTCAGACAAGAAAGAAAAAACCTCACAATCTTCCCTACTTTCTGCCCTCTGCAGTCAGCTGGGGAGAAGCGGACTTGTAACACTCTCCTTGGTATCCTTCTGAAATTAATTTTTTTCCAAGCTCCATTTGATGTCACAGTCCCATCACTTCTTCCTGAAGAGAGGTTTTTCTGCAGTTTCCCTTCCAACAGTTCCTCAAACCATTATTCATTCACTGTCCCCACTGTGTTAATTGGTTTCTACTCTCACCACATAACCTTGTTTTCCACGACAACCTGGGAGATCTCTCAAACTTGTAATTCCCATTCAGCATTCAGGCCACTGTTATATAGTGGGAAAACAGTCATAAAGATGAAAGAACAGGTAAACATGGGTAGAAATGAGGGAAAAGAGGGTATTCACAATGGTGACTTAAGACTGTGAAAAGCCCCTCTGTAATCAAAGAGACAGTCAAACATGTGCATTCCTACTCACACTGACAAGGGACATGCCTCTCTGTCAGCCATACAGAGATCTGAGACATGCTGTCTTCCCTAGACTAAAGTAAGCTAATGTCACCTTCCCCACGTGTTATCTAACTTTAAAGATGTTCCTGTACTGCGTCAAAGCAAAGCTCTTCTGTAGCCTGAGCCCGACTCCCACCACTGGACATCAGTGGAAACGGGTCAGACTGCAGCTGGCTCCATCAGCAGAAACGTGAGGACACCGCACAGCTCTTCCAGGTTTACACCGATACAAACACAGTCAAAATCTTGTTGTCCCCCTTCCCCCAGGTTAGAAAGCAGATCTGAATTATGAGAAGTCAATAGCAGAAATGCCTTTAAGCAGAAAAATATTCCAACTTTGCGTTCACAGGAGTGATTCTTTCCTCAGAACTTCACTGCTTGTCTGACAGTGGGATCCATGTTTCATGTAGAAGTCAGAGGCACCTGGGCCATCAAGTAAGCTGCACTCTGACAAAGGGCACGTTCAGGCAGATAGATTCAAGACACACATGAGTGTTTTAGCTTATTCTCCAAGTTGCCTGCACATAAGGTCACGCTGGTCTGAAAGCCATGTAGCCATACTATCTCAGCTACGTGCTGAGCTAAAAAGTCCTTCATATCAAGCTAGCTTAGATGTTCAGACTCTCTATGCTCATCCATATTAGGCACATGTATGAAAAATCAGGAGCTGAGTGCAAATTAGAACTGAAGATCTTCTAACGTGGAAGCCAGATACAGAAAAAGCAATTGAAAGGCAGGTTTATACTGTTCTGTCTTTCCAATCATGATGTGGTGAATGGACCAATGGAAGGAATTTGCAACAGAAGAAAAGGTAATAATGTGACCTGTATTGTATTCAGTATGCTGTCATTGAATTAGCTGCCCAGGTGAAATACCTAACCTTTATATCATCCTTAGATTCTGCAGAAAAATGGTAAAGGCATTCTGAATTATGGGGAAAAAAAATGGTGTTCGCAATGGAATTCAGAAAATAATTATTAATATTAATTTCTGGTTTTGTTTTTTTTTTTGTTTTTTGCAGAGCAAGGTAGTCTTTATATTTCAGAAGCTATTCACAAAGCAGAGATTGAAGTAACAGAAGATGGTACGAAGGCATCAGGAGCTACAGGTAAATCAAATATACAAACTTTACTTTTCATTTCTGAAGATTACCACTACAGAAACAACTAATAGTCTTTTATTTAAAAAAAAAAAAAAGCATGATAGCATTTAAATGTATGCCTAACATAAATTTAAACTTTTATATTTAACATGCTTCCATTTTACCTTTGTGATTGTTCATAAGAACACTTAAAACTCTTCCCTTTCCATGTTTGATCTTAGACTAACATATAAAGACTCTAGTGAAAAGCAGCTTTACCAGCCCAGGGAAAGTCCAGTTTAAGAAAATAAACCACTTCTTCTGTTGGTCAAATCTATTTGCTCAGATCATAAAAGCAAAGAATGAAAAAAGGTTACTAATGTTTTGTCCATAGCTCCTGAATCATTATGGGGTTTGTTTTTTGAAGATGATATCTTTGGTAACATTAAAGGTGATGATGGGAAAGTTTTGTCTTCATGAAGATGAAGACAGGCTTGTTTCTTATGTACTTTGAGGTGTGACCTTCGTGTGCAGTAGTTTCTACTACCAGATCATTTCCAAGTGAGCAGCTGGGGCTGGCTGAGTGGGGAGATTCAGAGTAAAATCTCAGCTATGGACTGGAGTCAATAAATGACCTTCGTAAGCTGAATGACATCTCAATAGAAATCCTCCATAACAACTTACATAAAACAGGGGAACTAAAATTACTGAGCTGTTCAATCCCTTTTTTTTTTTCATTTTTGTCACATGAACTTTATCAAAGAAGGCCCGTGCTTTTTTGTTTCCTTTTTGGAAGCCTCAGATGCTCTGGAGATGCTATAAGTCAGCACAAAAAGCAGCGGCAGCCCTAGACCACTGCATGGATTACATAGGCATTGCTGCCGCTTGCTTCTCTTCAGAAGCCGAACATGTCCTCGAGCTGTTCAAACACCAGCACAGCAGAAGGGTGATGGTTAACCACATCTCGCCTTGCTGCTTCCCTGGGCTGTGCTGACTGTAGATGTCCTCCACGCACACCCTGCAAACGCTGGTGGTCCTTGACTGCAGATCAGGCCAAGATCTGGGTCTCTCCCCTTTCTCCTGCTTGCTCTCCTTTCTTTCAGAAAGAAATCCAAGAGGCATGTAGGGGGAGCACCACAGTGCATCTCACTGCGGTGCCCACCATGTTGTGCACTGCAGACGTCCCCCGGTCACGATGCTAAAAGGAACCTGGGCACGCCTGATTTGGTGTAGTATTCCTCTAGCAACAGCTTTGAATAAGACACATGCTCAACATATGCGGGTGTGCAGTGAAAATCTGACATAACTAAGTTAACCTTTCTGCAGAGCTGTCCAGTTTTAAGTTTTATAACAATTTTTATCTCTACTGGGGCATTAACATTTTTTGTATTTTTTCTGGAAATTCCCATACAAAATAAAGGCTTTTAGGTGGCTTCGATTACATACCAAAGACTAAGGGTAATAGCAATCAGACATCAGACCTTTATCCCATTGAAACCAATGCCTAAACTTCCCTTCACTCCAGTCAGACCAAGCTAAGAAGCTGATTTTAAAAGGTATTATTATGTTTATTGTTTACTTTAAAAGCTCTGGATCTAGCCACACGAAAGCTAAAGCAGGCTCTTTTTTTAGGAGCACTGAAATAGTGCCACTCAGACTAGCTTTACTGCATCCTACTTGAATTTTCAATTGAATTCCATTGTTTTAACTGCTCAATAAAAAATAATCCAAATCTGGGTTTTTTAGTATTGGGTGGTTTTTTACAATGTATTCTTAATACTATAGAGCTACAAGGAAGCATTTATTTAAACGAGATGTATTTTAATAATAGCTGAGCCATCATAATTCTTAAGGATGCTTTATTAACCTAATAATTAACCCACAACCAGAGAGGGGAAGGACAGTCAGAAATTGAGATGGAGAATGCTTAGGTTTTGTTGGGAGTTCTGACAGAGGAATTCCAGGACGACATAGATATTTCTCTGCTGTTTGTCTCCCATTTAGAAAAGGGACTACATTTCTGCCTTGCTTATCTTTTTTACCAGAACAGCATAGCTAGGAATTGGCTAACGGGTTAGGCAGTAGCATGGTACGACTTCAGCAGTTAGGGCTGCGATAACAACAAAAATTACATTACCTTGGAAATCCAAAGCCAGACGGACTCACTTCAGCAACAAAATACACACGAATCGCCTGCATGTCGTCTCACAACACTTGACTTGCTCATTCACCCAGACCCATTTCACTGCTGGATAAAATTGTTGGTTTATTCTTAAAGCAGAGGAGCACCTCAAAACTCAAGGTACTAAACATCAGAGCTTGAGAGCACTGTACAGAAGATGGAAAGAAAATGGACACATTTTACTAACGTTTTCTTTGTTGCATTACAGCAATGGTGTTACTAAAAAGATCTCGAACGCCTATTTTCAAAGCAGACAGACCTTTCACGTTTTTCCTGAGACAAGCTAACACAGGTACGCATGCTCTGCGTTTCAGTAGCGGAACCCTTCGCAAGTAGCTCTGAAATCAATAACAAGTTCTTTGTAGATAGCGTGCCATTCTTCAGTCCAGGATATTTCAACAACCATGGAAACAGTGGGTTTAGAGTTTTTAAAGCATAAAGACTACAGCTTAATTTCTTTAAAAAGAATGCGTGATAGTCATAGAAGCCAGGGAAGCCAGCTTAGCCTCTTACATGTATATGCAGTATGTGCTCAAAAAGATTTCTACCATAATTATAGGCACTAGAAAGATCTTAAATGGCCCAGGATTAGGGACCGACCTCCACAGGGTGATTCAAACGACAAATGGGCTGGATCTGGTAGATTAATATCTGAAGAAGCCAAAATAGAAATCTTTCTCTATAAATGAAACTTAATTCACGCCTAACACAGATGGCACACAGCAAACAGATTTCTGCCTGTAGGCACCAGGACTCCAGGGCCTGAAAGTCCCTGTAGTAATTCCTACCTCAGCAGTTTCTAGGGGGATAGCTCAGAAATTCCGAAGACCAACAATCTTTGGCCCAGCTACAGCTCAGAATACACAGAAGCAAGTTTCTCTTCCCTCATATCTCGAATATCAACACCTTTGAGGAGATAGTTTTACACATCTGGACTCTTCACTACTTGGTACCCTCATGAGACATTGAGGTTATTAAAAGCCGCGGATATTCAGTGGATATAATCAGATAACTTAGCTCTGCAAAAAGCCTAACTTGTATCTTCACTTTTGCAAGGAAGTGCCAAAAAAATGCATGTTTCTTTTGCAGCTAACTCTGTTTCTTGCGAATGAACTCCCCCAGCCCCCCAAACAAACAAACAAAACTGCAGAGCCATGTCCGAAAGAGCGAAGCATCACACTGCTCCTTTGGCTTCAGTATTAGACTCTATGTCTCATTTCAGATGTCCAATCACATAAGTTACTCCGGAACCGCTGCCAAAAGAAAATGCCATTTAGCTCGTTGGCAATACTAAAGAAGAATTGCGTTACGCCCCATTTAGCAGGTGTTTCCTCCTCCGAAGTATCAGGCCATCTCCAACAACTCCTACCATTCTTAGCAACGCAATAAATTTGCACATTAAGCATTTTCCTAAAAATCCTTCAAACCACCAAGTTTCTCTCATAACTGGGGTCACGTCCATTTAGATTTCAAGGGAACACAAAGCTATTTATAGGGTTCAGTAAAACACTGGGGCCTGGCAAGAAGACCGAAGAGAGTAGTTTTCCTCATCTGCTTCCAAGCAACACACTCTGTTCTCTTAGTCGGTGAATACCTGTGTATGTAACATTCTGCTTTAAAAACCTGTGTCTCACCTTTTGACCAAAATGCAAACATATCTTTTCAAAGAAAAAAGCACTACCTTGGCAGGGGGGTTGTTTTAAATATACTTTGGCAATCATTACCATTCAGTGAATAAAAGTATTTTTACTTGACAAACGCAGAATTAACAAAAACAAAAAAAAAGGGGCACTAAAAGCCTATGAAACCTATGCCACAGACTCTTCAGGATTAAGAACAAACTGATTTCGGTGAATAAAATTGCTCAGTTTATGATATATGATAAAATATATAAATAGGAAGGAAATCAGATTGTAAAACAGGATTTTTATATGAAGCATAACAAAATATATACCTTCCAATCAACTAAAAAATCAGAAGTACATTTCTGTAATTTAAGCTTTTTAATGCAAAAAGTGAAAGCATTCCATCATTTTGCTTGTTCAGACTTAGTGACTGAAGTTGTTCAGGTATGAAAAGGGGAAAGGGTAAACAAGATTTGCTTTTCATACATTTTATTAACCTAACTAGATGTACTTAAAACTTGCTATCCCCATAAAATCACAATGAATCTTTATGCAGACCAGATGTCTTCATTGCATCAGTCTTCCAGTAATAGCAGAAATATATTTCCCAAGACTTAAAATAGCATATTTCTGCCTGAAATAATTGAAAAAGTTTGGGTTTTTTAACCTGAATTTCAGGTTTGAACATATTCCCTTTGAAGGACAGGCAAGGTAACAGCAATATGAACAACTGAACCACAAATTCAATGAACCTGAGGCAGTGATTTCATTCAAGGGGTTGTAATAATCTCTTCTGTAACGAGAATATCAACACAAAGGAATTAATTTAGGCTCTGTTTTTGCTCAGTTCAAAAGTGATTCTTTAGCCAAAGGTTTGGGTAAGTTTCAGGTTTGGGCAAATTTCTGGTTTGTGTTACCAACTGTTTGGAAAGGCCTTTTTGTTTTTAATGCGGAAATGTTCAAATTATTCTGAGGCATGCATGCAATTGCAGTCAATTTTTCCATATGAGCAATGAATGATCACAAATCTGCTAGTTCCATGCTTAATTTATGTATTTAAACTGTACTACACTTTGAAAACGTGGTCCCAAACTTAAATAATGTTAATATTGTTTTCATTTACAGGTTCAGTACTCTTTATAGGAAGAGTTACAAATCCTTCATAATAAACACTCAACAAATACACTGTCTTCTGTTCCTCCTATGATAAGCTTTCCTTCAATGAAACTAAAGGCTACATTATATGTATTTATTAAAACACTGTTTTAAACAATATCACTTTTGCAAGAGTAAGAGTCAGCAAGTCCTCCTCTACCTTACTTTGTACACACTATTGGAAACTTACAGCTGTCTAGGAATCATCAGCGCCACAACTATAGCAAAGATAGTAAGCATATAACCATCTGAGGAAAAACTGAACAGATTTTGCCATCCAAATATTTAAGTATATGGGCCAACAGGTTCCGCTTAACTTCATCATGGCTAAAGTCAGCTTGACTGTTGCTGAGTATGTAGGTCATCTGAAAGAAAGCATCCCATAAGAAAACTTTGTAATATGTGATTTTTCAAGCACAACTGTATTTCCCTGTCCCAAAGTCAGAAACTTAAGAACAAAATTGAAGTTCAATCTGCTCCTGGACTTAGATATAATCCAGCTGAGACAATAAAGTAACAAGCAAGCAGCAAAATGCTGCGAAAAGGAACTCAAGTTGAGAGGCTGTTTCAGAACTGACAGAACAGGTAGAAAGCAGAAATACCCACTCAATCAGTGACCAAACAAATATTATTGCCAAAAAATGTAGTAGTACTGCTACCTTTACTACCTTTTATTTTACTTTTTTTTAAATGAACACAGCATAGAATGGACATTCCTGAAGAACACTGAATGAGGCTAAAACCATCTAGAAAAATGCTTTTTTCAGCATCCTGACAGAAGTTGGGATACAGTGAGTGTTTTAGTACAAGATTCAGCAACTCATGGCACAAGCAGCATCAGAAAACCAGGCCTATAAAGATTTTGGATGAAGACTGCGAACCACTGACACCTAGGAAAAGCATCAGAGGGGAGCTGTTCCCACTGAATCAAAGTTTTCCAGAAGTTAGGAGCATCTAGCACAGATGAAAGCCATGGCTAATAAAGCATTCAGTGATATTTTGTGTCCAAGCAGCAGCACCTTCTGGTTGTTCCCACATTTGTAAACACATAAAACCTTCTGACACAGAAAAACTCTGCGGCACCGCTGAAAGGCTACTGACCCCTGCTTTACTACACCGTATCCTCATAAAACTGTGGGTTTTGTCATTGCTGTGGATGGGCATACAGTACATCAGTTTGTTGTGCTAGTCACCAAATAGTGAAGCGCAAAGTACGCAAGGCCAACAGGGTATCATGCTGCCATAGCTGCGATTGAGCATGAGCTTCCTTTCACCTGCTCTCTGATTAAGAACAGAGTACGCGGTGATACAAAACTGCCCTTCGTTCTTTAACGCTGATACTAGAACATGGAAGCTCTGGAAAGGGAAGGCAAAATGAACCATTCCAATAAAAACTGTACTCAATCCTACACAAAGATTAAAATAGAGTTTTTATTGATGGAATAACAAAAGTGCTTTTCTTAAATATTTTTCAAAATACATTTATACAACTTACAATAATATATCCAAAATAACTGTATATACAAAACATTACCTTGTTTAATGTATGTGCTTTTTTCTTTTGAAAATTACAAAGCAACTTTTTGGCAAAGTTCAACCTTAAGAGGTGATAGTTTTGAAGGTTGGATAAGAAAAATAGAACCTGAGGGAAAGTGACACTTAAGTCCATGACAAGCAAGAAGTTCTCCATTTAGTTAAATAAAAATGTTTTTGTGATATTTTTCACATTACAAAAATAACAGAAGTGAAAAAAAAAAAAGATGATGGATACTTTTCTCATCATTTTATAGAGCAGCTTCTCATTCTTTCAGGTACAGGAACTTGAGATAAGAGTGCATGTCAAAAATGAATGCAAGTAAGGACAGCAGTGCCCTGCTGTGGCTTTCTCTTGTGTGCAGAGTTTCTTAGCTGCTGTTGATATGGTTGACCTGATTGGATCTGCGATGGATTTCTTCCAGAAAACTCTCAAGCTGTTCTATCAGCATTCGTTTCTTAAACCTGTATATAAAAAAAAAGCATAATAATGGATGCACACAGTAATAGATGAAATATTGTTCACAAAACTTTTACTGAACCCTGGAAACTTCAATTATTATTTTAGGTCCAGTCCATGATGAGGTTATAGATACCTCATAGGTATATACACTGTCGCCTAAAGTTCTGGTAAATTACTAACTTGCTTTTCCATTTAATGAGAGAATACAAAAAAACGTGCTTACTACACTCAATTCTAGCACATTGCTGAACATCACTCAGCCCTCAGAAAGCCAGGAAAAAAAGAGAGTTAAGCATTTGCTGTTTCCAGAAGTAAATTTCTGAAGCGCAGAAATAAAACGTATGCCCAAAGAACTATAATCCTAAAGCTGGCCACAGCTTTTAGGGATTATTTGCATGCCTTCATGGTGCATTCAGAAAAGTTAAGTGAAGCTGGTACTGGTGAAGGAATAGCATTACACATTGTAGAGCAGATTTCCTGACATGAAAATACAAATTAAAAATTTGAGAAAGAAATTAAAGAAAATACAGACGTAACCCATACCTGGAGTCTCTGCAGTC